GCGGCAGGTTGACTTGGGATTGAAGTCGACGTCAATAGGGGAGGAGCAGGTCAAGGAGCAGCAGCCAACAGGGGAGCAGGCAGCCGTGAAGCCGACTACGAAGCAGTCGGCGATCGGGCAGTTGGCAGGGGAGCCGACCACAGGGGAGACGTCGACCATAAAATCGATCGAGGTGCAGCAGGACGACGAGGGCAGTGAAGACGGTGACGCCGAGGAGTCCACCAAGAGTAACATGGTGGAGGTTCGGCAAGAAACCCGGAAGTCGGACAGAGTTCGGAAGCCGCCTGACGTTTTTATCCCCGCTGCCTTCACCATGGTTTACGACGTTGACGATGACAATGACCTGCTGTACAATGACGTCGAGGACGATGAGGAGTTTCCGAAGCTCGACCCTGATGTGCTGGCCGACCCCGAACACCGCTGGGACATCTCGACGATGACGGTGAAGGAGGCGTTGGCGAGCTGGATGGGCCTGGCGGTGAAGGCCGCCATGGAGGAGGAGATCCGCAGCCTCATCAACATGGGGACTTGGGAGCTGGTCGAACGCCCACCGGGAGTCAACATCATGAAGAACCGGTGGGTGTTGACGACGAAGTACCACGTCGACGACACCGTCGAACGCGAGAAGGCGAGGCTGGTCGTGAAGGGCTTCACGCAGGTGTACGGCGCCGACTACGACGAGACGTTCGCGCCGGTGGGCAGCTACGTCACCCTGAGGATCTTCCTCAGCATCGTCGCCGTCCTCGACCTCAACCTGATGCAGCTCGACATGAAGAACGCCTTCCTGCAGAGCAAGCTCGACCGGGTGCTCTACATGACTCAGCCGGACTACTTCAACGACAGAACCGGCCGTGTCTGCAAGCTGCTGAAGAGCCTGTACGGGCTGAAGTAGTCGCCGCTGCTGTGGTACTTGGCGCTCAACGACGTGCTGGTCGGCGCCGGGTGGAAGAAGAGCCAGGTCGACGAGGCTCTGTACTTCAAAGTCGGCAAGGACGGAGTGGCGTGCTGGGTGCTGGTTTATGTCGACGACCTGCTCGCCGCCAGCAGCAGCACCGAAATGCTGAAGGAGTTGAAGGAGCTGCTGGAGTCCGCCTTCGAGCTGCGTGAGATCTCGCCGGTGCAGAAGTACCTCGGGCTGGAGATCCTCCGCGACAGGTCGGCGGGGAAGCTGTGGCTGCACCAGCAGGGCTACGCCGACAAGCTGCGTAGGCGCTTCATCGACGAGGAGCAGACCGGGCGCACTCCGAAGACGCCGGTCTCGGTCGATGCCTACGCCGGGCTCACCTTCGACGACGAGGAGGCGAAGGAGCGACAGGAGGAGGAGTACCGGCAGAAGGTCGGCTCGCTGCAGTTCGCGGCGACGACGACGAGGCCGAACGTCGCCTTCGCCTGCAGCAATCAGGGGAGCGGCCTCACGGTGGGGAGCGACCAGCACTGGCGCCAGGTCGACCGCTACCTCGCCTACCTCGCCAACACGCGTGACACCGCCCTGGAGTTTGGCGGTGGACCTGAGTCGCTGGAGCTGGTCGGCTACGTGGACGCCGACGACGCCGGACAAGCAGAACTGGACGAGCACGGGCGGCTACGTGTTCGTCCACGGAGGGGCTGTGGTCTCCTGGTCGAGCCAGTGCATCAAGTGCACGACGATGTCGTCATCCGAGTCGGAGTACGTGGCGGCCACCGAAGCCGGGAAGGAGGGACGCCGACTTCGCTTCCTCCTCGCATAGTTCCAGCAGCTGGATGCTGGGAAGCCGACCGTCCTCCAGGTGGACAACAAGTCGGCCATCACGGTTGCCGAGGGCATGGGGTTGACGGGCAACCTCAAGCACATGGAGCGGCGACAGGCCTGGCTGCAGCACATGGTGAAGCGCGGGAAGTTCTCGCTGATGTACATCCCGACCGCTGAGTAGCCGGCCGAATTCCTGACGAAGGCGCTGCACTATCCGGCCTTCAACCAGTGCTCCGTCGCCATCGGCTAGGTGCGCTTGGCAGACGTGGGCGACGAAGTTGACGACGTGCAGCAGTAGGTGCCATGCCCTCTTGCATGGCTGGTGCGGTGGACGACGTGCTGTGTATTGGGTGCACGTCGACGAGCTAGTCTCCGAGGAGTACTGCCGTGTGGGCAGGGGCCCAAGCGTGAATGCGGCAGGGGAGTGTCAACGGGAGTTGTGTGTTGGCCCTGTCCTCGCTTGGGCGGAGCCGACTTCGTGGTCGGGTGTGAGGGGAGCAGCCGACCTGCAGCAGTGGGCGAGCTGGTTGATGAGGAGGTCGACCTGCACGGGGACCACTCCACGGGGCGTCAACTTCGTGACGCCGACTTCGGGTGGCCGACGTGGGTGGTCGGCCGACAACTGCGCTAGTTGACGAGGAGCAGGTCAACCAGTAGTGACGTCGACCTGGTGAGGTCGACTTGGAGGTGGTCGTCCACTTGGGAGGTCGACGGGCTCGTACGGGAGCAGCTGGTCGACGTGGTTGCCTGGTCGACCAGGTTACCTGGGTGACGAGGTTTTGCGGAGAAGTGCGACGGTCGCCCAGGCAAAGTTGGCGAGCCCGACCTCGGGGGTGGTATCCCGAGGTCGACGTGGCCGATCAGAAGCAGGCGTCAGCACGAGGTTGACGTGGTGTGTGCGCTGTGCAGGTGACGAGACTCTGCACGCCAATCATCTGCGCGCACCTGCGAAGCGGGTGCGCTGCTGTTCTGCGTGAGCAACGCTGGCATGCCGTCAATCTGCGACGTTGGCACGCCGTCGACCTTGCACTGCTGGAGCGCGGTCGACCAAGTCGTGCTGGAACGCGGTTGACCAAGCTGCGCTGGCAGTTGGCCGACTTGGCTGTTTGCTCTGATGTAGTCTTGTGATGCCAACTTCAATTGTATCATTGTTCTGAACTTTTCCTAGTGGAACTCTTGCCAACTCTCCCCGTAAACTAGCAAGCAGTGTGCGCACAAGGAAAAAGACTAAGGACTAACAAACGCAGAGATCACACAAGCACCCGTGCCTAGCCCGTAGTCTAGCTCCCGTTGTAGTAGTTATCTCCGCATGGTGCTGTGAGCGTGGACAGCACACGACTTACCTTTCAGTAAGATCGACGTAGTGGTCACTTACCTAAGTTGATGTAGGCCGGCAGCTGTGCGATAGTCACTATGGTAGGAGCCATAGGTGACGCAGGGGTGGTGGACACCCTGAGGCACGGCTGCAGAATGCGAGGTGAAAGCATGAGGCCAACGAGTATGGCGACTTGCCCTGGGCAGTCGTCGAGGCTAGACTCCGCTCCATGTGGGCGACGGAGCACCCTTCTCGACCTGCCTCTCCTCGTCTGGTGAACAACGAAGGCGGCATAGACGTGGGCGTCAACGCCGGAGGTGGCCAAGTCGGCAGCAGTGCCGGAGGCACGTCGAGGCAGAGAGGTGTGATTCACGACGACGAGGTCGGCATCGTTCAGGCGCGAGGGGTGCAGTCGTAGGCGGCTGCAGGCCCCTCGCAGGGCGGCATCAGAGGACGACGAAGTGGATTGTGGCCGATGTCGGCGACCCATGTCAGTATGAAACTTAGAGTGCAAATGCCAGGGAGAACGGAGGCGCTCAGATCTCGCATAGTACACGGAATCTAGTGGTCTCACTCAAATAAAAGGTAGGAAATATATAAATCTAGTGAACGTAAGGGTTTGAAAGGTAACTAACGCACATGTGTAGAGAAAATAGTGCATCGGCTAGTCTGGCCGGCATTTCGCACTTATAGTGCAAGTGGGGCCAGGGAGAACGGAAACGCTCATTTCTCAAAACGTTAAGGAAATCTAGCGGTCTCACTCGATCAGAAGGTGGGAAATATATAAATCTAGTGAGCTAATAAGGTTCGGAAGGTATCTAACGCACATGTATAGGGAAAAATGGTGCATTGGCCAGGCCGGTCAGTATGGGAACTTGGAGTGCAAATGCCAGATAGAACGAAAACGCTCATATCTCCCGAAGTACACGGAATCTAGTGGTCTCACTCAAATAGAAGGTAGGAAATATATTAATCTAGTGAACGTAAGGGTTTGAAAGGTAACTAACGCACATGTGTAGAGAAAATGGTGCATTGGCCAGTCTAGCCGCCATTTCGCACTTGTAGTGCAAGTAGGGCCAGCGAGAATGGAAACGCTCATTTCTCAAAAAGTAGAGGTAATCTAGCGGTCTCAATCGATCAAAAGGTGGGAAATATATATATCTAGTGAGCTAATAAGGTTCGAAAGGTATCTAATGCATATATATATATGGAAAATGGTGCATTGGCCAGGTCGGTCAGTATGGGAACTTAGAGTGCAAATGCCTGGGAGAACGGAACCGCTCAGATCTCGCATAGTACACGGAATCTAGTGGTCTCACTCAAATAGAAGGTAGGAAATATATTAATCGAGTGAACGTAAGTTTTTGAAAGATAACTAACCCATATGTGTAGAGAAAATGGTGCATCGGCCAGTCTGGCCGGCATTTCGCACTTATAGTGCAAGTAGGGCCAGGGAGAACGGAAACGCTCATTTCTCCAAAAATAAAGGGAATCTAGCGGTCTCACTCGATAAAAAGGCGGGAAATATAGAATTCTAGTGAGCTAATAAGGTTTGAAAGGTATCTAATGCACATGTATATGGAAAATGGTGCATTGGCCAGGTCGGTCAGTGTGGGAACTTAGAGTGCAAATGCCTGGGAGAACGGAACCGCTCAGATCTCGCATAGTACACGGAATCTAGTGGTCTCACTCAAATAGAAGGTAGGAAATATATTCATCGAGTAAACTTAATTTGCTGAAAGGTAACTAACGCACATGTGTAGAGAAAATGGTGCATCGGCCAGTCTGGCCGGCATTCCGCACTTATAGTGCAAGTAGGGCCAGGGAGAACGGAAACGCTCATTTCTCAAAAACTAAAGGGAATCTAGCAGTCTCACTCGATCAGAAGGTGGGAAATATATAAGTCTAGTGAGCTAATAAGGTTTGAAAGGTATCTAATACACATGTATATGGAAAATGGTGCATTGGTCAGGTCGGTCATTACGGGAACTTAGAGTGCAAATGCCTGGGAGAACGGAACCGCTCAGATCTCGCATAGTACACGGAATCTAGTGGTCTCACTCAAATAGAAGGTAGGAAATGTATTAATCGAGTGAACGTAAGTTTTTGAAAGGTTACTAGCGCACATGTGTAGAGAAAATGGTGCATCGGCTAGTCTGGCCGGCATTTCGCACTTATAGTGCAAGGAGGGCCAGGGAGAACGGAAACGCTCATTTCTCCAAAAATAAAGGGAATCTAGCGGTCTCACTCGATCAAAAGGTGGGAAATATATAAATCTAGTGAGCTAATAAGGTTCGAAAGGTATCTAATGCACATGTATATGGAAAATGGTGCATTGGCAAGGTCGATCAGTATGGGAACTGAGAGTGCAAATGCCTGGGAGAACGGAACCACTCAGATTTGGCATAGTACACGGAATCTAGTGGTCTCACTCAAATAGAAGGTAGGAAATATATCAATCTAGTGAACGAATCTAGTGGACGTGGTCGTGGACGTGGACGTGGACGTGGACGTGGTCGTGGTCGTGGACGTGGACGTGGACCTGGACGTGGACGTGGACCTGGACGTGGACGTGGACGTGGACTTGGACGTGGACGTGGACTTGGACGTGGTCGTGGACGTGGAGGTGGACTTGGACGTGGACGTGGACGTGGACGTGGTCGTGGACGTGAACGTGGTCGTGGACGTGGTCGTGGACGTGGGCCTGGACGTGGACGTGGACGTGGACGTGGAGGTGGACGTGGTCGTGGACGTGGACGTGGACGTGGTCGTGGACGTGGACGTGGACGTGGACGTGGACGTGGACGTGGTCGTGGACGTGGACGTGGACGTGGACGTGGTCGTGGTCGTGGACGTGGACGTGGACGTGGAGGACTTGGACGTGGATGTAGACGTGGACGTGGACGTGGTCGTGGACCTGGACCTGGACGTGGACGTGGACGTGGAGGACTTGGACGTGGACGTGGACGTGGACGTGGACGTGGTCGTGGACGTGGACGTGGATGTGGACGTGGTCGTGGACGTGGACGTGGACTTGGACGTGGACGTGGACGTGGACGTGGACGTGGTCCTGGACGTGTACGTGGACGTGGACGTGTACGCGGACGTGGACATGGAGGACGTGGACGTGGTCGTGGACGTGGACGTGGATGTGGACGTGGTCGTGGACGTGGACGTGGACTTGGACGTGGACGTGGACGTGGACGTGGTCCTGGACGTGTACGTGGACGTGGACGTGTACGTGGACGTGGACGTGGACGTGGAGGACTTGGACGTGGTCGTGGACGTGGTCGTGGTCGTGGACGTGGACGTGGTCGTGGTCGTGGACGTGGACGTGGACGTGGTCGTGGACGTGGACGTGGACTTGGACGTGAACGTGGACGTGGACGTGGTCGTGGACGTGGACGTGGACGTGGACTTGGTCGTGGTCGTGGACGTGGATGTGGTCGTGGACGTGGACGTGGACTTGGACGTGGACGTGGACGTGGACTTGGACGTGGACGTGGTCGTGGACGTGGACGTGGACCTGGACGTGGACGTGGAGGACGTGGACGTCGACGTGGAGGACGTGGACTTGGACGTTGACGTGGACGTGGACGTGGACGTGGTCGTGGACGTGTTCGTGGACGTGGACGTGGACGTGGACGTGGTCGTGGACGTGGACGTGGATGTGGACGTGGTCGTGGACGTGGACGTGGACATGGACTTGGACGTGGACGTGGACGTGGACCTGGACGTGGTCCTGGACGAGGTCGTGGACGTGGACCTGGACGTGTACGTGGACGTGGACGTGGACGTGGAGGACTTGGACGTGGACGTGGACGTGGTCGTGGTCGTGGACGTGGACGTGGTCGTGGTAGTGGACGTGGACGTGGTCGTGGACGTGGACGTGGACTTGGACGTGGACGTGGACGTGGACGTGGTCGTGGACGTGGACGTGGACGTGGACTTGGTCGTGGTCGTGGACGTGGACGTGGTCGTGGACGTGGACGTGGACTTGGACGTGGACGTGGACGTGGACTTGGACGTGGACGTGGTCGTGGACGTGGACGTGGACCTGGACGTGGACGTGGACGTGGACGTGGAGGACGTGGACGTCGACGTGGAGGACGTGGACTTGGACGTTGACGTGGACGTGGACGTGGACGTGGTCGTGGACGTGGTCGTGGACGTGGACCTGGACGTGGACGTGGACGTGGACGTGGACGTGGTCGTGGACGTGGACGTGGACGTGGACGTGGACCTGGACGTGGTCGTGGACGTGGACGTGGTCGTGGACGTGGTCGTGGACGAGGACGTGGACGTGGTCGTGGACGTGGACGTGGACGTGGTCGTCGACGTGGACGTGGACATGGACCTGGACGTGGACGTGGACGTGGACGGGGACGTGGAGGTGGACTTGGACATGGACGTGGACTTGGACGTGGTCGTGGACGTGGACGTGAAATTGGACGTGGACGTGGACGTGGACGTGGACCTGGATTTGGACGTGGACGTAGATATGGAGGACTTGGACGTGGACATGGATGTGGACGTGGACGTGGTTGTGGACGTGGACGTGGACGTGGACCTGGACGTGGACGTGGACGTGGACGTGAACTTGGGCGTGGACGTGGACGTGGACGTGGACGAGGACTTGGACGTGGACGTGGACCTGGACGTGGACGTGGACGTGGACTTGGACGTGGACGTGGACTTGGACGTGGTCGTGGACGTGGACGTGAAATTGGACGTGGACGTGGACGTGGACGTGGACCTGGATTTGGACGTGGACGTAGATAATTAGGACTTGGACGTGGACCTGGATGTGGACGTGGACGTGGACGGACGTGGTCGTGGACGTGGACGTGGACGTGGCTGGGTCGTGGTCGTGGACGTGGACGTGGACGTTGACGTGGACTTGGACGTGGACTTGGACTTGGACGTGGACATGGACGTGGAGGACATGGACGTGGACGTGGACGTGGACGTGGACGTGGTCGTGGACGTGGACGTGGACGTGGTCGTGGACGTGGACGTGGTCGTGTACGTGGACGTGGACGTAGACGTGGTCGTGGACGTGGACTTGGACGTGGACTTGGACGTGGACGTGGACGTGGACGTGGACGTGGTCGTGGACGTGGACGTGGACGTGGACTTGGACTTGGACGTGGTCGTGGACGTGGACCTGGACGTGGTCGTGGACGTGGACGTGGTCGTGGACGTGGACGTGGACGTGGAGCTGGACGTGGACGTGGACGTGGTCGTGGACGTGGTCGTGGTCGTGGACGTGGTCGTGGACGTGGACGTGGACGTGGACGTGGACGTGGTCGTGGTCGTGGACGTGGACGTGGAGGACTTGGACGTGGATGTGGACGTGGACGTGGTCGTGGACGTGGACCTGGACGTGGACGTGGACGTGGAGGACTTGGACGTGGACGTGGACGTGGACGTGGTCGTGGACGTGGACATGGATGTGGACGTGGTCGTGGACGTGGACGTGGGCGTGGACTTGGACGTGGACGTGGACGTGGACGTGGACGTGGTCCTGGACGTGGTCGTGGACGTGGACCTGGACGTGTACGTGGACGTGGACGTGGACGTGGACGTGGAGGACTTGGACGTGGACGTGGACGTGGTCGTGGACGTGGACGTGGACGTGGTCGTGGTCGTGGACGTGGACGTGGACGTGGTCGTGGACGTGGACGTGGACTTGGACGTGGACGCGGACGTGGACGTGGTCGTGGACGTGGACGTGGACTTGGTCGTGGTCGTGGACGTGGACGTGGTCGTGGACGTGGACGTGGACTTGGACGTGGACGTGGACGTGGACTTGGACGTGGACGTGGTCGTGGACCTGGACGTGGACCTGGACGTGGACGTGGACGTGGACGTGGAGGACGTGGACGTCGACGTGGAGGACGTGGACTTGGACGTTGACGTGGACGTGGACGTGGTCGTGGACGTGGTCGTGGACGTGGTCGTGGACGTGGACCTGGACGTGGACGTGGACGTCGACGTGGACGTGGTCGTGGACGTGGACGTGGACGTGGACCTGGACGTGGTCGTGGACGTGGACGTGGTCGTGGACGTGGTCGTGGACGAGGACGTGGACGTGGTCGTGGACGTGGACGTGGACGTGGTCGTCGACGTGGACGTGGACGTGGACCAGGACGTGGACGTGGACGTGGACGGGGACGTGGACGTGGACTTGGACGTGGACGTGGACTTGGACGTGGTCGTGGACGTGGACGTGAAATTGGACGTGGACGTGGACGTGGACGTGGACCTGGATTTGGACGTGGACGTAGATATGGAGGACTTGGACGTGGACGTGGATGTGGACGTGGACGTGGTTGTGGACGTGGACGTGGACGTGGACCTGGACGTGGACGTGGACGTGGACGTGGACTTGGGCGTGGACGTGGACGTGGACGTGGACGAGGACTTGGACGTGGACGTGGACCTGGACGTGGACGTGGACGTGGACGTGGACTTGGACGTGGACGTGGACTTGGACGTGGTCGTGGACGTGGACGTGAAATTGGACGTGGACGTGGACGTGGACGTGGACCTGGATTTGGACGTGGACGTAGATATGGAGGACTTGGACGTGGACCTGGACGTGGACGTGGACGTGGACGGACGTGGTCGTGGACGTGGACGTGGACGTGGCTGGGTCGTGGTCGTGGACGTGGACGTGGACGTTGACGTGGACTTGGACGTGGACGTGGACTTGGACTTGGACGTGGACATGGACGTGGAGGACTTGGACGTGGACGTGGACGTGGACGTGGTCGTGGACGTGGACGTGGTCGTGTACGTGGACGTGGACGTAGACGTGGTCGTGGACGTGGACTTGGACGTGGACTTGGACGTGGACGTGGACGTGGTCGTGGACGTGGACGTGGTCGTGGACGTGGAGGTGGACGTGGACTTGGACTTGGACGTGGTCGTGGACGTGGTCGTGGACGTGGACGTGGACGTGGTCGTGGACGTGGACGTGGTCGTGGACGTGGACGTGGACGTGGAGCTGGACGTGGACGTGGACGTGGTCGTGGACGTGGTCGTGGTCGTGGACGTGGACGTGGACATGGACGTGGTCGTGGACGTGGACGTGGACTTGGACGTGGACGTGGACTTGGACGTGGACGTGGACGTGGACGTGGACGTGGAGGACTTGGACGTGGACGTGGACGTGGACCCAAAACGCGGAAGGATTAGCACATGTGCAGGAAATGCAGCGTGCGGTCTTCATTCGGGAGCGCCGTTGACCGATGATACTCGCAACCCTCCCACGCCCTTGCTAGCTTGGTAATAGGCCCAGACAAGCGCAGCCATGTGACCCGACGTAAGAAAAACGCTCGGAACGAGCGCTTCCACCCCCAAAAGGCGGAAGGATTCGCACATGTGCAGGAAATGCAGCGGGCACTCTTCATTCGCGAGCGCCGATGACTGATGATGCTCGCAACCCACCCACGCCCTTGCTGGCGCCCTAGCTTGGTGCAGGAGCTTGCCTGGTCCAGGAGCTTGCCTGGTCCAAGAGCTTGCCTGGTCCAGGAGCTTGCCTGGTCCAGGAGCATGCCTGGTCCAAGAGCTTGCCTTGTCTAGGAGCTTGCCTGGTCTAGGAGCTTGCCTTGTCTAGGAGCTTGCCTGGTCCAGGAGCTTGCCTGGTCCTGGAGCTTGCCTGGTCCAGGAGCTTGCCTAGTCCAGGAGCGCGTCTGGTCCTGGAGCTTGCCTGGTCCATGAGCTTGCCTGGTCCAAGAGCTTGCCTGTTCCAGTAGCTTGCCTGGTCCAGGAGCTTGCCTGGTCCAGGAGCTTGCCTTGTATAGGAGCTTGCCTGTTCCAGGATTGTGGATGGTCTAGGAGCTTGCCTCGTCACTTGCCTGGTCTAGGAGCTTGCCTGGTCCAACAGCTTCCCTGGTCCAGGAGCTTGCCTAGTCCTGGAGCTTTCCTGGTGCAAGAGCTTGCTTGGTCCAAGAGCTTGCCTGGTCCAAGAGCTTAACTGGTCCAGGAGCTTGCCTAGTCCAGGAGCTTACCTTGTCCAAGAGCTCGCCAGCTTGCCCGGTCCAGGATCTTACCTGGTCCAGAGCTTGCCTGGTCCAGGAACCTGCCTGGTCAAGGAGCTTGCCTGGTCCAGAAGCTTGCGTGGTCCAGGAGCTTGCCTAGTCCAGGAGCTTGCATGGTCGAGGAGCATGCCTGGTCCAGGAGCTTGCCTGGTCTAGTATCTTGCCTGGTCAAGGAGCTTGCCTGGTTCAGGAGCCTGTCTGGTCGTGAGCTTGCCTGGTCAAGGAGCCTGCCTGGTCAAGGAGCTTGCCTGGTCCAGGAGCTTGCCTGGTCCAGGAGCTTGAATGGTCCAGGAGCGTGCCTGGTCCAGGAGCTTGCATGGTTTAGGAGCTTGCCTGGTCCAGGAGCTTGCATGCTTTAGGAGCTTGCCTGGTCCAGGAGCTTGCCTGGTCTAGAACCTTTCCTGAACCAGGAGCTTGCATGCTTTAGGAGCTTGCTTGGTCCAGGAGCTTGCCTGTTCTAGGAGCTTGTCTGGTCCAGGAGCTTGCCTGGTCCAAAAGCTTGCCTGTTCCAGTAGCTTGCCTGGTCCAGGAGCGTGCCTGGTCCAGGAGCGTGCCTAGTCGAGGAGCTTGCCTGGTCCAGGAGCTTGCCTTGTCCAGGAGCTTGCCTGGTCCAAGAGCTTGCCTAGTCCAGGAGCGTGCCTGGTCCCGGAGCGGCCTGGTATAGGAGCTTGCCTTGTCCAGGAGCTTGTCTGGTCTAGGAGCTTGCCTGTTCAAGGAGCTTGCCTGGTCCAGGTGCTCGCCTAGTCCAGGAGCTTGCCTGGTCCAGGAGCTTGTCTGGTCCAGGAGCTTGCCTGGTCCAAGAGCTTGCCTGTCTAGGGGCTTGCCTATTCAAGGAGCTTGCCTGGTCCAGGAGCTTGCCTGTTCAAGGAGCTTGCCTGGTCCACGAGCTTGCCTAGTCCAGGAGCGTGCCTGGTCGAGGAGCTTGCCTGGTCCAAGAGCTTGCCTAGTCCAGGAGCATGCCTGGTCGAGGAGCTTGCCTTGTCCAAGAGCTCGCCAGCTTGCCTGGTCCAGGAGCTTGCCTTGTCCAGGAGCTTGCCTGGTCCAAGAGCTTGCCTAGTCTAGGAGCGTGCGTGGTCCAGGATCGTGCCTGGTCCAGGAGCTTGCCTTGTCCAGGAGCTTGTCTGGTCCAGGAGCTTGCCTGTTCAAGGAGCTTGCCTGGTCCAAGAGCTTGCCTAGTCCAGGAGCTTGCCTGGTTCAGGAGCTTGCCTGGTCCAAGAGCTTGCCTAGTCCAGGAGCTTGCCTGTTCCAAGGGCTTGCCTGGTCCAAGAGCTTTCCTGGTCCAGGGGTTTGCCTGGTCTAGGAGCTTGCCTGGTCCTGGAGCTTGCCTGGTCCAAGAGCTTGCCTGGTCCTGGATTTTGCCTAGTCAAGGAGCTTGCCTAGTCCAGGAGCGCGTTTGGTCCTGGAGCTTGCCTGGTCCATGAGCTTGCCTGGTCCAGGAGCTTGCCTGTTCTAGTAGCTTGCCTGGGCGAGGAGCTTGCCTGGTCCACGAGCTTGCCTAGTCCAGGAGCTTGCATTGTCCAGGAGCTTGCCTGGTCCAGGATCGTGAATGGTCCAAGAGCTTGCCTGGTCCAGGAGCTTGCCTTGTTTAGGAGCTTGCCTGGTCTAGGAGCTTGCCTGGTCCAGGAGCTTGCCTAGTCCTGGAGCTTTCCTGGTCCAGGAGCTTGTCTGGTCCAGGAGCTTGCCTGGTCCAGGAGCTTGACTTGTCCAGGAGCTTGCCTGGTCTAGGAGCTTGCCTTGTCCAGGAGCTTGCCAGCTTGCCTGGTCCAGGATCTTACCTGGTCCAGAGCTTGCCTGTTCCAATAGCCTTCCTGGTCAAAGAGCTTGCGTGGTCCAGGAGCTTGCCTGGTCCCATTCTCCCGCTTTCCATCACCCCGCCCCATTCTCCCTCCTTCTATCACCCAGACCCATTCTCCCGCTTTCCATCACCCCACCCCATTCTCTTGCTTTCCATCACCCCGCTCTATTCTCCTGCTTTCCATCACCCCGCCCCATTCTCCCTCTTTCCATCACCCCTCCCTATTCTCCATCTTTCCATCACCCCGCCCTATTCTCCCGCTTTACATAACCCCTCCCGATTCTCCCGCTTTGCATCACCCTGCCCCATTCTCCTTCCTTCCATCGCCCCGCCCCATTCTCCCGCTTTTCATCACACCCGCCTCATTCTCCCGCTTTCCATCACCCCGCCCCATTCTCCCGCTTTCCATCACCCTGCCCCATTCTCCCGCTTTCCATCACCCTGCCCCATTCTACCGCTTTCCATCACCCTGCCCCATTTTCCCTCCTTTCATCACCCCGCCCCATTTTCCCGCCTTCCATCGCCCCGCCCCATTCTCCCGCTTTCCATCGCCCCGCCCCATTATCCCGCTTTCCATCACCCCGCCCCATTCTCCCGCTTTCCATCACCCCGCCCCATTCTCCCGCTTTCCATCACCCTGCCCCTTCTCCCGCTTTCCATCACCCCGCCCCATTCTGCTACTTTCCATCACCCCACCCCATTCTCCCTCCTTCCATCACCCCGCCCCATTTTCCCGCCTTCCATCACCCCGCCCCATTCTCCCGCTTTCCATTACCCCGCCCCATTCTCCTGCTATCCATCATCTCGCCCCATTCTCCCGCTTTCCATCACCCTGCCCCATTCACACGCTTTCCATCACCCTGCCCCATTCACACGCTTTCCATCACACCGTCCCATTCTCCCGCTTTCCATCACCCTGCCCCATTCTCCCGCTTTACATCACCCCGCCCCATTCTCCCGCTTTCCATCACCCCGCCCCATTCTCCCGCTTTCCATCATCCCGCCCAATTCTCCCGCTTTCCATCACCCCGCCCCATTCTCCAGCTTTCCATCACCCCGCCCCATTCTCCCTCCTTCCATCACCCCGCCCCATTCTCCCTCTTTCCATCACCCCGCCCTATTCTTCCGCTTTACATCACCCCGCCCGATTTTCCTGCTTTCCATCTCTTCGATTCATTCTCCCGCTTTCCATCACCCCGCCCCGTTCTCCCGCTTTCCATCACCCCGCCCCATTCTCCCGCTTTCCAGCACCCCGCCCCATTCTCCCGCTTTCCATCACCCTGCCCCATTTTCCCTCCTTTCATCACCCCGCCCCATTTTCCCGCCTTCCATCGCCCCGCCCCATTCTCCCGCTTTCCATCGCCCCGCCCCATTATCCCGCTTTCCATCACCCCGCCCCATTCTCCCGCTTTCCATCACCCCGCCCCATTCTCCCGCTTTCCATCACCCTGCCCCTTCTCCCGCTTTCCATCACCCCGCCCCATTCTGCTACTTTCCATCACCCCACCCCATTCTCCCTCCTTCCATCACCCCGCCCCATTTTCCCGCCTTCCATCACCCCGCCCCATTCTCCCGCTTTCCATTACCCCGCCCCATTCTCCTGCTATCCATCATCTCGCCCCATTCTCCCGCTTTCCATCACCCTGCCCCATTCACACGCTTTCCATCACCCTGCCCCATTCACACGCTTTCCATCACACCGTCCCATTCTCCCGCTTTCCATCACCCTGCCCCATTCTCCCGCTTTACATCACCCCGCCCCATTCTCCCGCTTTCCATCACCCCGCCCCATTCTCCCGCTTTCCATCATCCCGCCCAATTCTCCCGCTTTCCATCACCCCGCCCCATTCTCCAGCTTTCCATCACCCCGCCCCATTCTCCCTCCTTCCATCACCCCGCCCCATTCTCCCTCTTTCCATCACCCCGCCCTATTCTTCCGCTTTACATCACCCCGCCCGATTTTCCTGCTTTCCATCTCTTCGATTCATTCTCCCGCTTTCCATCACCCCGCCCCGTTCTCCCGCTTTCCATCACCCCGCCCCATTCTCCCGCTTTCCAGCACCCCGCCCCATTCTCCCGCTTTCCATCACCCCGCCCCATTCTCCCGCTTTCCATCACCCCGCCCCATTCTCCTTCTTTCCATCACCCCGCCCCATTCTCCAGCTTTACATCACCCCGCCCCATTCTCCCGCTTTCCATCACCCCGCCCCATTCTCCCGCTTTCCATCACCCCGCCCCATTCTCCAGCTTTCCATCACCCCGCCCCATTCTCCCTTCTTCCATCACCCCTCCCCATTCTCCCTCCTTCCATCACCCGCCCCATTCTCCCGCTTTCCATCACCCCGCCCCATTCTCACGCTTTCCATCACCCCTCCCCATTCTCCCGCTTTCCATTACCCTGCCCTATTCTACCGCTTTCCATGAACCCGCCCCATTCTTCCTCCTTCCATCATTCTGCCCCATTCTCCCTCCTTCCATCACCCCACCCCATTCTCCCGCTTTCCATCACCCCGCCCCATTTTCCCGCTTTCCATCACCCCGCCCCATTCTCCCGCTTTCCATCACCCCGCCCCATTCTTCCTCTTTCCATCACCCCGCCCCATTCTCCCGCTTTCCATCACCCCGCCCCATTCTCCCTCCTTCCATCACCCTGCCCCATTCTCCCTCCCTCCATCACCCCGCCCCATTCTCCCGCTTTCCATCACTCCGCCCCATTCTCCCGCTTTCCATCACCCCGCCCCATTCTCCCGCTTTCCATCACCCCGCCCCATTCTCCCACTTTCCATCACCCCGCCCCACTCTCCCGCTTTCCATCACCCCGCCCCATTCTCCAGCTTTCCGTCAACCCTCCCCATTCTCCCTTCTTCCGTCACCCCGCCCCATTCTCCCTCCTTCCATCACCCGCCCCATTCTCCCGCTTTCCATCACCCCGCCCCATTCTCCCGCTTTCCATCACCCTGCCCCATTCTCACGCTTTCCATCACCCCGCCCCATTCTCCCGCTTTCCATTACCCCGCCCCATTCTACCGCTTTCCATCAACCCGCCCCATTCTTCCTCCTTCCATCACCCGCCCCATTCTCCCGCTTTCCATCACCCCGCCCCATTCTCCCGCTTTCCATCACCCTGCCCCATTCTCCCGCTTTCCATCACCCGCCCCATTCTCACGCTTTCCATCACCCCGCCCCATTCTACCGCTTTCCATCACCCCACCCCATTCTCCCGCTTTCCATCACCCCGCCCCATTTTCCCGCTTTCCATCACCCCGCCCCATTCTCCCGCTTTCCATCACCCCGCCCCATTCTCCCGCTTTCCATCAGCCCGCCACATTCTCCCTTTTTCCATCCCCCCGCCCCATTTTCCCTCCTTCCATCACCCTGCCCCATTCTCCCTCCTTCCATCACCCCGCCCCATTCGCCCGCTTTCCATCACCCCGCCCCATTCTCCCGCTTTGCATCACCCCGCCCCATTCTCTCTTCTTTTATGAACCCAACCCATTCTCCCGCTTTCCATCACCCCGCCCCATTCTCCCGCTTTCCATCACCCCGCCCCTTTCTCCCGCTTTCAATCACCCCGCCCCATTCTCCCGCTATCCATCATCCCGCCCCATTCTCCCGCTTTCCATCACCCCGCCCCATTCTCCCGCTTTCAATCAACCCGCCCCATTCCTCCGCTTTCCATCACCCCGCCCCATTCTCCCGCTTTCCATCATCCCGCCCTATTCTCCCTCCTTCCATCACCCTGCCCCATTCTCCCTCCTTCCATCACCCCGCCCCATTCTCCCGCTTTCCATCACCCCGCCCCATTCTCCCGTTTTCCATCACCCCGCCCCATTCTCCCGCTATCCATCATCCCGCCCATTCTCCCGCTTTCCATCACCCTGCCTCATTCATCCGCTTTCCATCACCCCGCCCCATTCTCCCGCTTTCCATCACCCGCCCTATTCTCCCGCTATGCATCATCCCGCCCCATTCTCCCGCTTTCCATCACCCTGCCCCATTCATCCCGCTTTCCATCACCCCACCCTATTCTCTTGCTTTCCATTACCCCGCCCCATTCTCCCGCTTTCCATCACCCCGCCCCAATCCCCCGCTTTCCATTACCCCGCCCTATTCTACCGCTTTTCATCACCCCGCCCCATTCTCCCGCTTTCCATCACCCTGCCCCATTCCTTTGCTTTCCATCACCCCGCCCCATTCTCCCGCTTTCCATCACCCCGCCCTATTCTCCCTCCTTCCATCAACCTGCCCCATTCTCCCTCCTTCCATCACCCTGCCCCATTCTCCCGCTTTCCATCACCCCGCCCCATTCTCCCGTTTTCCATCACCCCGCCCCATTCTCCTGCTATCCATCATCCCGCCCCATTCTCCCGCTTTCCATCACCCTGCCCCATTCATCCACTTTCCATGACCCCGCCCCATTCTCCCGCTTTCCATCACCCCGCCCTATTCTCCCGCTATGCATCATCCCGCCCCATTCTCCCGCTTTCCATCACCCTGCCCCATTCATCCCGCTTTCCATCACCCCACCCCATTCTCTCACTTTCCATTACCCCGCCCCATTCTCCCGCTTTCCATTACCCCGCCCCATTCTCCCGCTTTCCATCACCCCGCCCCATTCTCCTGCTTTCCATCACCCCGCCCCATTCTCCCGCTTTCCATCACCCTGCCCCATTCTCCCGCTTTCCATCACCCTGCCCCATTCTGCCGCTTTCCATCATCCCGCCCCATTCTCCCTCCTTCCATCACCCCGCCCCATTTTCCCGCCTTCCATCACCCCGCCCCATTCTCCCGCTTTCCATCACCCCACCCCATTCTCCCGCTTTCCATCACCCCGCCCCATTCTCCCGCTTTCCATCACCCCGCCCCATTCTCCCGCTTTCCATCACCCTGCCCCTTTTCCCGCTTTCCATCACCCCGCCCCATTCTGCCGCTTTCCATCACCCCGCCCCATTCTCTCTCCTTCTATGAACCCAACCCATTCTCCCGCTTTCCATCACCCCGCCCCATTCTCCCGCTTTCCATCACCCCGCCCCATTCTCCCTCCTTCCATCAATCCACCCCATTCTCCCGCTTTCCATCACCCCACCCCATTCTCCCGCTTTCCATCACCCTGCCCCATTCTCCCGCTTTCCATCACCCTGCCCCATTCTCCCGCTTTCCATCACCCCACCCCATTCTCTCGCTTTCCATTATCCCGCCCCATTCTCCCGCTTTCCATCACCCCGCCCCAATCCCCCGCTTTCCATTACCCCACCCCATTCTACCGCTTTTCATCACCCTGCCCCATTCTCCCGCTTTCCATCACCCCGCCACATTCTCCCGCTTTACATCACCCCGCCCCGTTCTCCCGCTTTCGATCACCCCACCCCATTCTCCCGCATTCCTTCTCTCCGCCCCATTCTCCCGCTTTCCATCACCCCGCCCCATTCGCCCGCTTTCCATCACCCGCCCCATTGTCCCTCCTTCCATCACCCCGCTCCTTTCACCCTCCTTCCATCACCCCGCCCCATTCTTTCGCTTTCCATCACACTGCCCCATTTTCCCACTTTCCTGTCAACGGGAGTTGTGTGTTGGCCCCGTCCTCGCTTGGGCGGAGCCGACATCGTGGTCGGGTGTGAGGGGAGCAGCCGACCTGCAGCAGTGGGCGAGCTGGTTGACGAGGAGGTCGACCTGCACGGGGACCACTGCACGGGCGCCGACTTCAGGGTGGCGCCAACTTCGGGGAGGTCGACTTAGGAGTCGACCTGCGGAGGACGTCAACTTGGTGACGTCAACTTGGGGAAGCCGACTTCGGTGGTCGGCTGATGGACTGCTGGTCGACCTGCGGGTGGTCGACTGGACCTGGTGGTCGACAAAGGAGGGGCCGACGTCGACCTCGACTCAGGATGCCGAGCAGTTGGGCGTCAAGTAGCGGGGCGTCAACTTCGTGACGCCGACTTCGGGTGGCCGACGTGGGTGGTCGGCCGACAACTGCGCTGGCCGACTTAGTGCTGGTCGACCAGAAGGGACCTCGACCTGGAGGAGGTCGACCGAGGGGTGTGGTCGTCCTGGTGAGGTCGACATAGAGGTGGTCGTCGACTTGGGAGGTCGACGGGCACGTACGGGAGCTGCTGGTCGACGTGGTTGCCCGGTCGACCAGGTTACCTGGGTGACGAAGTGCTGCGGAGGAGTGCGACGGTCGCCCAGGCGAAGTTGGTGAGACCGACCTCGGTGGTGGTATCTCGAGGTCGTCGTGACGGATCAGAGGCAGTCGTCAGCTCGAGGTTGACGTGGTGTGTGCGCTGTGCAGGTGACGAGACTCTGCACGCCAATCATCTGCGCGCACCTGCGAAGCGGATGCAGTGCTGTCCTGCGTGAGCAATGCTGGCACACCGTCAACCTGCGACGTTGGCACGCCGTCGACCTTGCCTTGCTGGAGTGCGGTCGGCCAAGTTGTGCTGGAACGCGGTCGACCAAGCGGCGCTGGCAGTTGGCCGACCTGAATGCTAGCTCTCATGTAGTCTTGCATTGCCAACTTCATTGTATCATTTGTTGTCATGTTTTCCTAGTGAAACTCTTGCCAATTCTCCCCGTGAACTAGCAAGAAGCGTTAACACAAGGAAATCACTAAGTGAACGAACGCAGAGATCACACGAGCACACGTGCCTAGCCCGTAGTCTAGCTCCCGTTGTAGCAGTTATCTCCGCATGGTGCGGTGAGCGTGGACCGAACACCGCGACGTAGTTCAGTCTAGCCGACTTTGCACATACCGATCGTGTTCGTAGACCGGCAGCCGTGTAGTCACTAGCGTGCGCATAGGCGACGCCGAGATGATGGACACCCTGGAGGGATGGCTGGAGGATGCGAGGAGACGCCATGAGGCCCAGGAGTATGGGGCGATACCCTGGGCAGTCGTCGAAGCCGGACTCCGCTCCGTGTGGGCGGCGGAGCACCCCCCTCGACCACGTCCACGTCCACGTCCTCGTCCACGTCCACGTCCAAGTCCAAGTCCACGTCCACGTCCAGGGCCACGTCCACGTCCACGTCCACGTCCACGACCACGTCCACGTCCACGTCCAAGTCCACGTCCACATCCAAGTCCTCCACGTCCACGTCCACGTCCACGACCACGTCCACGTCCACGTCCACGTCCACATACAAGTCCTCCACGTCCACGTCCACATCCACGTCCACGTTCACGACCACGTCCACGTCCACGTCCACGTCCATGTCCACGTCCACGACTACGTCCACGTCTGTCAACGAGAGTTGTGTGTTGGCCCCGTCCTCGCTTGGGCGGAGCCGACATCGTGGTCGGGTGTTAGGGGAGCAGCCGACCTGCAGCAGTGGGCGAGCTGGTTGACGAGGAGGTCGACCTGCACGGGGACCACTGCACGGGCGCCGACTTCAGGGTGGCGCCAACTTTGGGGAGGTCGACTTAAGAGTCGACCTGCGGAGGACGTCAACTTGGTGACGTCAACTTCGTGACGCCGACTTCGGGTGGCCGACGTGGGTGGTCGGCCGACAACTGCGCTGGCCAACTTAGTGCTGGTCGACGTGGAGCTGGTCGACCAGAAGGGACGTCGACCTGGAGGAGGTCGACCGAGGGGCGTGGTCCTCCTGGTGAGGTCGACATGGAGGTGGTCGTCGACTTGGGAGGTCGACGGGCACGTACGGGAGCTGCTGGTCGATGTGTTTGCCTGGTCGACCAGGTTACATGGGTGACGAAGTGCTGCGGAGGAGTGCGACGGTCGCCCAGGCGAAGTTGGCAAGACCGACCTCGGTGGTGGTATCCCGAGGTCATCGTGGCGGATCAGAGGCAGTCGTCAGCTCGAGGTTGATGTGGTGTGTGCGCTGTGCAGGTGACGAGACTCTGCACGCCAATCATCTGCGCGCACCTGCAAAGCGGGTGCACTGCTGTCCTGCGTGAGCAATGCTGGTACGCCATCAACCTGCGACGTTGGCACGCCATCGACCTTGCCTTGCTGGAGTGCGGTCGACCAAGTCATGCTGGAACGCGGTCGACCAAGCTGCGCTGGCAGTTGGCCGACCTGAATGCTAGCTCTGATGTAGTCTTGCATTGCCAACTTCATTGTATCATTTGTAGTCATGTTTTCCTAGTGAAACTCTTGCCAATTCTCCCCGTGAACTAGCAAGAAGCGTAAACACAAGGAAATAACTAAGTGAACGAACGCAGAGATCACACGAGCACACGTGCCTAGCCCGTAGTCTAGCTCCCGTTGCAGCAGTTATCTCCGCATGGTGCGGTGAGCGTGGACCGAACACCGCGACGTAGTTCAGTCTAGCCGACTTTGCACATACCGATTGTGTTCGTAGACCGGCAGCCGTGCAGTCACTAGCGTGCGCATAGGCGACGCCGAGGTGATGGACACCCTGGAGGGATGGTTGGAGGATGCGAGGAGACGCCATGAGGCCCAGGAGTATGGGGCGATACCCTGGGCAGTCGTCGAAGCCGGACTCCGCTCTGTGTGGGCGGCGGAGCACCCCCCTTCTCGACCTGCCTCTCCTCGACCGGTGAACAACGACGGCGGTGTCGACGTGGGCGTCAACGCCGGTGGAGGTCAGGTCGGCAGCAGTGCGGGAGGCACGTCGAGGCAGCGAGGCGTGATACACGCCGGTGAAGTCGGCGGCGTTCAGGCGCGAGGGATGCCGTCGTCGGCGGCTGCAGGCTCTTCGCAGGGTGACGTCGGAGGTCGACGGAGTGGGCTGTCGCCGATGTTGGCGTCCCAGGTGACGGCAGGTGGGATTGCGCCGAGCTACGGCTACTTCAAGTTTACGCCGGACAGGATCTCGGTCACCCCTCCACTGGTCGGTCGACCCGACATTCTCACCTGGAAGGAAGCTATCGAGCCCCAGCTTGAGATGGCCGGGCTGATTGGCTTCGCTCGAGGGACCATGGCAACGCCGGGGGAGCACCACCCCGACCTGCGTGCGGAGTTTTGCGCCGTGCAGCTGTTGACCTTCACGGTCATCTCACGGTGCTGCTCGCCGGGCGTGCAGATCGCCTTGAAGTGGTGCCGGGAGTACATTGACGCCGGCCACCGGGCATGGCACTTCATTGAGTCGACGTACCAGGTCACCGACGACCTGTTCATCGCCCAACTGGAGGGACAGCTGACGCACCTGCGTATGGGTGACGAGGAGACAGCGACTGACTACTACAACCGAGCCCGGCGAATTCTCGCCACTATCAGGATGGCCGGCGCGCAGTACTCCACGACGTCGTACATCACCCATGTCATGCAGGGACTTTCTAGCAGCTATAACCTCCTGAAGCGGCTGTCTATGGCGCCGAGCACCAGGGCGACGCTCAACGAGGACAACCTGACCTCGTACATCCTGCAGGACGAGGCAATGCAGGAGGCTGAGCGGTCACAGGAACTCTTGGCGCAGGCCAACTTCGTCGCC